CTCCCTCCCTCCCTCCCTCCCTCCCTCCCTCCCTCCCTCCCCAACCCCCTTCCTTTCCGGCCGCTCTCTCCCCGCCCGTGGTCTCTTCCTCCTTTCCTCCTCCGTCTTTCTCAGGCCCGCCCGCCCCACGCGAGGTGGTTGTGCGCGCATGCCGTCATTATGACGGAATGAGGGGAAAAACTCCGATAAACCCCGGGACGCGGGGAGAAAGGCACGAAATCCTACCCGGAGAATGCGTCGGTCCCCTTCGACCCGCGCTTCTCCTCCTCTGCTCCCACTCGCCACCAGAGTCGTTAGGGAAGCAGCTTTTATATTCCCGACACGACTGCTGCTGACACGCAAGAAGTAAAGAGGGTCTGTCCTTCCTGTGCACTCCTCGTGCTCGTCCTCCGTCTGCCTTGTCCACATGGCCCCCACCTTCCCTCCCTCCCCCTCCTCCCCTCCCTCGTCCTCCACCAGGCCCCCTCCTCCCCTCCCTCTTCCTCCACCAGTCCCCCTCCTTCCCTCCCTCTTCCTCCAACAGTCCTCCCTCCTTCCCTCCCTCTTCCTCCAACACGTCCCCCTCCTTCCCTCCCTCTTCCTCCAACAGTCCCCCTCCTTCCCTCCCTCTTCCTCCAACAGTCCCCCTCCTTCCCTCCCTCTTACTCGACCAGACCCCTTTCCGCCAAGCCCGTCAAGATCTCGTCGCCAGTCGGCATGCGGCCCATGGCCAACTTCGAGAAGATGAGGTGCGGAATCCATGCTTCGTCCTCCTCCCCTTCCTCCCTCCCTCCCTCCCTCCCCTCCTCTTCCGGGGGAAGAGGGGAGGGCTCGTAGTACGTGACTTCAAAGGCGCCGGTTGCGGAGAGCGAGGTAACCAGTGTGTTCCCAAGGAGGACCACGGCCAACGTCTGGAGCTGAGGGAGGGAGGGAGGGAGGGAGAGAAGGAGGGCATAAGGCATCAGAGTGAGTGGAGCAGGAGATGCCGGGGGCCGTCGAAATAGGAGGAAGAGGGGAGGAAGGAGGGAGGAAGGGAGGGAGGGAAGGAGGGAGGGAGGAAATGGCAACCACTGGTTCAATGAGGGTTATAATGAAAGGGTAGCCAGTCAGGCAAGCCATCAAGATCGTTCCGGTCTTAATGTAAAAAGAAATCCAGACGGTGTTTCTCGTACCTTGTTCGACAAGAGTGCCTCTAACCATGCCGGCGTCGGCGTCACCCCCGCCGCCCGAAAAAGGGGCCGCCCGGCAATCATGAGGAGGACGGCCGTCAGCTGTCCGTAGCCCATGACCGAGACAAGAAATTGCGCGAATGGAGGCGGGGGATAGTTTTCTCCGTGGATGAGGGAGGAGCGCTCCAGGTGGCGGGAGGTGGCAGGCTCGGAGGTGGAGGGAGGATGGGGGTCGAGGGAAGGCAAGTGATGCCGGAGGAATTTGGAAAGCTGCAAAAAATTCCCCCGCATGCCTGGGAGTGACCATGTAATGCCGTTTTATAAGGATTACTTTGGTAAGAAAATGAAGACGATATACAAATACGGCGCAATTTGCGGGAATGCATAAATGTTATCCCTGAAGGTGCCCGAACCTCACCAGTCCTCACCTCAGCTGGTGCAGTATTGCACGACGATTCGCGGGTGTGGTTGAAGCGGATGTTTCTTTTTGGCGCCTTCGAACGTCCATGTCGAAAAGACATAGGATTTTGTGTCTTGCGAGGATGTTTGTGCGCGTGCGGCATGGAGTGGAGCCTCCGGTAAAATCTCGACAGAGGAAGAACCAGAGTCCCCAAGGGGAGGTGCGGAATTCGTCGCATCTTTCCGTCCGTTGCTGGGTTCCGACGTTCCGTCGCGCGCGTAGAGGAGCATCGCGTAGGCAAGAAAGAGGACGAATAGCGGCCAGCCGCCTAGATTGTTAGCGGGTCCCGGCATGTTTTGCGCTCGGTCGTTATTCGCGACTCGGGCTTCACTTTGTTCGGAGAGGGGGCCGCGACGGTCCTGCCCCGCATTTTCGGCTTCCCTGCCATCGACCTCCACCATGCCGCCACCAATGACGAGAGTGTACCTGTTTATGTACGCGCTAGCTTGAAATAGGACACAGAACACCGGGGCTAGAAGGCAAAGACTCCGGGAACTCGCAGAGCTCGAGATAACAGTTTCTCTCTTGCCGGTCATGAGGACAAGCTCCGTGCTTCTTGGTACAGCGCACAAAGCGATGCATACAACGCAAAAGGTACCTGCACGTTCTCCCCATACAGCACGGAGACGCACATTGGCGCTCTCCGTCCATGTTTTTAATGGCAGCATAATTGATCCTGATCAGGACAAGGGGGAAAGGATCGGAACGGGGGCGGCGAGACTGGAGGAGACGATGACTATTCCTGTGGGAAGTTGATGCGAGCAACATTCAATTGAGTTGCCATGTGCAAGGCTTCCTGCCTGAAGCTTTGCTTGTAGAGCTTTGTTTTCCAACGGGTATTGCCATGCTTAGATGCTTGTTTTCGATGGCTGTCATCGCGTTTTCTAAACGGTAAGTGTCGCAGTATAGTAAGCACTATCATCGTCTAGGCAACTTTTACCCGCCCTCACGTTTAGGTCCGAGTGGGGAGTATTTTCTAGAACTTTACAATGAATTCAAAATTTGACAACACACACTCGATGTTCTCTCTTTCCTTTAAAGATTACGTCACGCAGGCTTTCATTAGTGAAACGGAGGAGCACGTGCGTCGGGCACCGCGAGTCTCTCCCTGCGCTTCCACATCTCTGCACTTCAATTTGGATTTCAAATCCTTTACACTTCTTCCCGTCATTCTCTGTGCGTTTACGAATTAAATTTTGTCTGGCGTGATACACATTGACAGTGTGGAAAGAATGTCTTGGTTCTTCTCTCGTGGTCGCGAGCCCTCCCCGACAATTACGGAAGGAGAGCAACGAGAAACCCGTCACGACATTCGGGGACCGCCTGACTCGGATGCCCTGGTCAGTCTCGAGGAAGGGCATGCCTCGTCCGCGGCTCTGCCGCCCCCCTCGCCTTTGGCCCCTGGCGCTTCCACGGTGCCAACGAGTCAGGCATCCACCATTCCTAGGCCGGATGGGCCGCCGACGGCGGGAGAACGGGCGGACATCACGTCCTGGCAGGAGAAGAACCGTAAGAGTCGAAATGTGACGGAATATGTGGAGGGCGGCCGACGGAGTGAAGGCTATTACCAGCACCCCAACCGCCAACGCCACCATGACCGTCCTCGTCGTAATTCCTGGGGGGATGTCCGAGGGCAGCCACCACATCTACACTCGCACAAGCACAAGCACCCACGGGAGGACTCGCAAACGACCAGCTCCGGGGCCAGTGGAGGCGGGGAAGGCGGCGGTTCGGGGGACGGAATGGGGCCGTCGATAGGGAGCACGGGGAGTTTGAGCACCTTGGGCAAGATCGGGCGGCATGTCTCCCAGTCGTTTCAAATGTCCTTGGACATCGTTAAGACCCATCTGGGGGAAGAGCTCGTCTTTTGCCAGGTGTGTCGGGAGTATGAACGCGTGAGCAAGACCTACCGGCTGGGGGCGTGTGGCCATCGGTATTGCCGGGGGTGTTTTACGTCGTATTTGGAGTGTAAAATTTCCGAAGGCCAGATCCACCCCACCTGCTTCTACAGCGAGGAAAACGGGAGAACAGGGCGAGAGGGAAGAAGGTATAGGACCATCCCACGCCCCTGTGCGACGCCGGTTCTCGAGAGCGATATGTATACCCTGGTGTGCCCGGAGACCTGGTTGAAGTACGAGCGGTTTAAATTTCAAAAAGCCCACCGTAACGCCCGCATGTGTCCGTTTTGCGACTCGGCGGAGCTGGGGGACGCGGAGCAGCCGGCGATGACCTGCAGCAAATGTGGGAAACAGTTTTGCTACTTCCATGCCTCAGCGCATCCGAACAAGTCGTGCACAGAGTACGAGCAATTGACGCACGAGGAGACCCTGAGGAACCAAGCGATGATCAGCACGATTGCTAAGGTGGGAGGGAGGGCGAATGAGAGGGGGCCTTGGGCGTGGGCGTGCTAATGTCTGGGCGGGTCCTGGAAAGAGGGAATAACGCGGTCGGTACCAAAGGTCTCAGTCGCGCCAGGACGGCCTTGTATTGCCATTCTTCATACCCTTTCTCTCCCTCCCTCCTTCCCTCCGTCCTTCCCTCCTTCCCTCCTTCCCTCCTTCCCTTGCACAGCCGTGCCCGGGTTGCGGGAACCCGGTGGAGAAATCGGGGGGATGCAACCAGATGGCGTGCGTGTGGTGTGGGCAAAACTGGTGCTGGCTGTGCGGGAAACTGGTCGACAATGGTACCTTTCCGGACCATTTCCAGGTAGGGATCGCGGGGAGGAGGGAGGGAGGGAGGGAGGAAGGGAGGAAGGGAGGAAGGGCAGCTCGGGATCTAATAGTTGCTGGCAAACATGGCCTAGGAGGGGCATGTTCCACTCCGCCCACTCGTTCAACCCTCCCTCCCTCCCTCCCTCCCTCCCTCCCTCCCCCCTGCCTTCCCTCCTGCCCTTCTTCCCTCCCGCAGTGGTGGAATGTGATCGGCGGCTGCCCGAACATGCAGATGCAGGAGGATTTGGAACCTCCTCCACCGTCGCACATCCGCCTCGTCAAATTTCTGTCCATTCTGCAATTGATTTTTATCGGCCCGGCGGCCTTCGTGATTGGCACGGGCTTGTACATCGCCTGCTTCCCTTGCTTTCTCTTCAAATGCGTGGGGGTGATCGGGCAGGGGGATGACGAGCGGGAGAACGAAGAGGGGGGACGGCAGCTTCGGGCGCACTACACGGGCTGCATTTCCTTCTGGGGCAACACATTGGTGGCATTTTTGCTGATTCCATTTTTTGTGGCCATGCTCCTCCTCTTCTTTTTGCTCACTTTCTTCCAAGTCTTGTGCTCCAGCGTGCACAGTCGCTTCGGGATTTGTTGTGGGATGGAGAAAGGGTGGGAGGGAGGTGGAGAAAGGGGGGAAAGAGGGCAGGGACGAAGGGAGGGGACACGGCCCCACGGTGAGGAAGCAGAGGGGGGGGCTCTTGCCACCCCCCCGCCGTCAACGGTAGAGGCGGCGGCTGCCGCGATCAATGTGTTTGCGGCCATGACCCACAGCTTTAGTGTAGGAGGTGGAGGGGCCGGGGGAGGGGGAGGTGCCGGGGCTATGAATCGTGCCCATTCGAGTGCTGTCGCCGGCCGAAGTCTGGTCAAGAGCAAGGAGAAGGTGGGTGCCGTGGAGGCGCGGGAGCTGACGGCAGGCAAAGAAGGCGGAGGGGTGGCGACTGCACGGGCGTTGGCCGCACCGGAGGTTCAGGACATGACACGGGTGCGTCCTGCCGAACGAGGAGGAAGGGAAGAGAGCCTGGAAATGTGAAGGGGGAGAGGGGATGGGGGCCGTGAGACGAGGATGCGCCAGAGCAGCTGGTACAAAAACTGATGACGCAGCTCAATACGGTTGAACGCGGGCATTAACTTGGTGAGTTGCGCCATTCAGAAGCGGTTTACCCGTGAGCGAGGCAGGAACATGTGAAGCAGGCACATCGAATCCCAGGCACGATATGCCGGCGTTTTTGTCTACTGAAAGAAGCAAAAAATTAAACGACTGTGACGGATATTAGTGCCGTCCATATTGAAGCTTCAGGTCTTTCTTTTCTGTCATTGCACTTCGCTTGGGCCAGAAGGCTGTGCTCGCTTTAACACGGTATTCAACATGTACTTCTTCCGAAATAAGAGGAAATGTGACTTGTCTTCTTGTAAAAATTGAATGAGCCAGAAATGGGAGTTCCAGTACAGCTCTTTGCTGTTTTATGATGGGATCTTCAATGTTACGTACAGGTCCTTTTTTTTTGTCTCAATGGACATAAACGTTTCAGGAGTACTGAAAATTGACGAGAGATTAAATCCATACTTTTGAATTGTCAATCCCTCCGATTGTCAAGTTTCAGCACTCAGGAAACCAAAATATTTGACCTTCACGCTCACTCAGGGAAAGAAAAGGTAATTAACACTCACGGTCAATAACATTATCGTGCAGTCAAAGCCATGGCCCATGTCCACAAGGACGTCGCGGCCTCTTGAACCTCCTGCCTCGAGCAGCTTTCGCGCCATTTTTATGGGTGGCACCTGCCATGCCCCTGTCTTGCATGCCTGTCGCAAACTAACACACATTTTACGTCTATATGTTCCAGGATGGGGATAGCTCAAGGAAGCAGAGGCTCTTTGTCGAAGCGATGGCTTTTGGATGGTTTGCTGTATTTTTTCCTACTACTTCCCGCCCCCATCTTCTGCTTTGTTCCTTCCATCCTCAGCGGGTTTCGACACACTGCGGCCGACCTCTCTTCTTCCTCACCCGTACGCCGTCTATCAACTGTCTTACATGCAACGTCGACCTTGGAAGTACGAAGACGCGAAGGAAATTTTGATCTGGAGCTCTTTTCACCGGCTAAAGTGAACCTTTTCCTCCGCATCATCCGTCGCCGCGAAGATGGTTACCACGAGCTGGCATCCCTCTTCCAAACTGTGGCATTTGGAGACACACTTCTCCTCAAAGTCCTGCCTGCCATTGCCGTGCAAGATGAATTCTCCTCCTCTTATACCTCACTTGTCACGGACCAGAGCAATTTGGTCCTCAGGGCCCTTGATCTTTTCCGAGAGAAGACCGGCAAGACCCAGCGCTTCGAAGTTTACCTCGAAAAACGCACTCCCGTCCAAGCAGGCCTAGGCGGGGGTTCCAGCAACGCTGCCACCACTTTATTCGCGGCCAACCAATTGTTGGGTACCCCGGCGACGGACGAGGAGCTGATCGAGTGGTCCAAAGAGCTGGGGTCTGACATCACCTTCTTCCTCTCGAAAGGCACAGCCTATTGCACTGGCCGGGGTGAGCTTCTAGAACCCGTGCCCCCCCTTCCCTCCAGCATTAAGCTTTACGTCGTCAAACCGCCCGTGGGTCTCTCCACCCCCGCCGTCTTCAAGGCGTTGGACCTGGATGCTCTAAATGGGGAGGACCCTCGGGATCTCTTGGCGGCCTTTACGCAGCACTTGAGTCGTGGCGAGCTAGGCCCTGCCTCCATGTACATCAATGACCTGGAGCCTCCGGCTTTTCAGTGTGTGCCTCGTCTCAAAGCCATCAAAGAAGCATTGTTGGCCCGAGGGTTTGACTGTGTGATGATGTCTGGGAGCGGCACCGCCATTTTTGCCATGGCCCCTGCCCCTTCCTCCCTCCCTTCCTCGGCCGGTTTATCTTTCGATGCGGCAGCGTTTGCGCGGGAAATGGAGGTGGACATATGGGCCACGACCTTCACGAACCGACCGTCGGATGACCCCAAGGCCTGGTACCCAAATCCTCACGCGTAGAACGGGAAGGAGGGAGGGTCGGTGATAGAAAATGCGAACAAGCAACTGACTGACGTACATGCAAAAAGCAGATGGCTCCGAGTTTGCTTGCGTCACTTCTTCCATTTCCCTTCGATCCCCTTAGCGACGGGTTTCCTCCATTCTTCACAAGCTTTATCCCGCATCCCCCTTTTTCATGATTTGAACGTAAGTGTCGTGGTTTGTTTTGGGGGTTGCGAAGCCCGAATAGCCCATGTGGCTACGCTCCCTACAATCTTCTCCCCTTTCATACTGCCAATCTTCTCAAACCCTCGTTGCCCCTTCTCTCATATCCAGTTGGACAATGTGGTGATACGACGCGTGGAAAGTGCTTGGTTCTTATGATCCTTCTTGTCCCTCCCGATCCTTTTCTCCCCTTCTTCCGATCTGTATTCAGGCCATACATTAGGCTGTAATATACCCTTAGATTATTTAAACGTCAATTTTTACCACTCTTGCAAGAGGCATCATTCCCCCATATCGCATCAGGCATCCGAGTTCAAGTATCCCACCCAACCCCAGAGATGCAAGGCACGAAACGCTCCCTTTCCTCCCTCCAAGGCGCCAGACCAACTCCTCCTCTTTCGTTGCATAGTCACCGTGACCCCAGCCCGTCGTGTTACTCATCCGTTTATTTGAAAAAATCTTTGATGCCTCCAAAGATGCCCCGGGCATGATCGATCCCGTCGTCCAAGGCCGACTCTGCCTTCTTGGCAGAAGCCTTCCATTCCGACTTGGCATGTTTCGCCTGATCCGCGAGCCGGTTTGCCTCCTTCTCGGCCCTTTCGGCCGCGGCGTGCGCCCTCTTCTTCTGTTCCTCTACCTTGGCCCGGGTGCGGTCGGCGGCGGACTGGGGGGAAAAGAGAAAGAAGGAGGATAAAGGAAAGAGGAAGGGAACGAGGAAATTAAATACGGTGCATGGTCTTGCTACGTTATGTATTGGAAGAAACCAGAAAGCAGCAGGCTGGCTCGCGCAGAACGAGGCCGGGACAGGGAACGGCGGAGGGGTAGGGGAGCCTGTGTCACGTCGATTTCCCACCTCCCTGAAGGGAGGGGCACCGCACAATGCACGGCCATGCGTAACTCTCACGCTGTATTCCCACATCTCAGATCGCCTGCCAGCCCTGTTATCAAAACATGCCGGTGCACATGTACGTATCCTTGTCATGCCCTGTGCACGCACGCGGGATCACGATTCTAACCTTGGCGTCGGCCTTCATCTTCTCTGCACTTGCCTTGGCCTCATCCGCCATTTGTTGTGCTTTGGCCTACAAACATCAGTAAGGGATCGAGAGAGAAAGAAAGCAAAAGAAAAGTGGGACGCGCGGTCTTCCAAGGCCAAGAAAGCAAAGACTGGACCACAGGCAAACACGAGCAGAATCTATGATGGGGCAAGGTCCAACTTCAACAATCGATCCATGAAAAATTACACGCAGGATACTTTGGTCGATGCCATGCAATCATCAAGACGAGGCCTGACAAGTCCGACAAACCGCGTCTTCAAGAGCAGGATAAGGGCGAAATAGGGGACTTCAGGCAGCGCTCCTACCTTGGCCTCGGCCTTCGTCTTCTCTGCCTTGACCTTGGCGTCTGCTGCGTACTTTTTGGCTTTTGTCTGATGGGTATCGAGTCGGAGGGGGAAAGGAAGGGAGTGAACGTGAGCAACGAGAGTGACGAATCTTCGCCAGCGCTATATGGCACAAAGCCTGTGATCTACTGCAATCATTAAAGTCTTGCCCAGGATATTTGTCACCATCGTCTTGTCTCTACTGATTGTTTGGCATCAGGGTCCACATTTTTCGTTGGCTCGGTCGTTTGGACGCATCCGTCCCCCTTCGACGGACTTCAACGTCACCCCTCTTCCCCCATCATTACCTCCGCATCCGTCTGCGCTTTCTTTAGCCTGGCATCAGTCTCGTCAATCTTGTTTTTCGTCCTGTCGGAAGCAGAGTCTACCGCCTTGGAGGCTCTATCAATGGCCTAAAGAAAGCAGTCGCGGAAGGGTGGGAGAATCAGCAAGAGGGCAGATCTTCAATTTGCCATCAGGTTCGACGTCGATGGCATCGCACGATGGACCTTATTCTTTCGCTCGAGACCACATATCTTACCTCATCGCCACTCTTCGTCCACGACGAGATTTTGGAGTCGAGTTTCTCAAAGAAACCGCCTCCACGGATGTTCAAGAGAGAATTGCTAGTACAGGTGTTGATGTTGGCCGCGATGCCGGCAACAGACACCACGAGCAAAGTGGCCACGGTTCCAAAGGACGCAAAAGAACGCATGGTCGTGAGAGGGTTAAGCGCGAAGGATTCTGTGTCCACGAGTCGGATGAAAATGAGAATGTGGATCAAAGTTGTATGTTCTATTCTTTCCGGTGGTATTTCGAGTCATAAAATATTTTTCTTCTCTCTCGCTACTTGAAGAAGAACCGACTGTGCACGCGCAATACTGTCACCAAATATGGCCCCAGGGGTACTTCCAGCAAAAATGTTCTCAAAGAATTGCCCCCATAAATCCATACACCATAAAATAATCACACAGTTTCTTGAAGCAGCTGGGAGGGGGGCCTGGAGCCATGTCAAAAATAAGACGGACACAACGAGATGGTCGCCGGCAGTTGACACGTTTGGCTACCTCTATCGTTCTCATCGTTTCTGCCTGCCCTGCCGTCATCACGGACGCGACCCGGGCCACCCTGTCGTTTTCCATCCTTCCTCGCCTCTTTGCACGACGTGCAGGCAGCAGCAATGGATTGCATCCTCTCTCTTCCCCTTCCTCCGCGACCCCCACCACCACTAGCCTGCCTGCAACTGAAATCAATGCTCCTTTCCCCCCCCCTTCGGAATTTCCAACCTCTGAGCTAGGCTTTTCCTTCAGTCCTGCAGGCTTACTTTTCCCCTATCACCTGGGTGTCGCGTCTGTGCTTCGGGAAAAGCGTTTGATTACCGATCAAGTCCCCCTGGGAGGCTCGAGTGCCGGTGCCCTTGTGGCGGTTTTGATTGGCTCAGATATTTCGATGAAAAAAGCTCTCGATGCGTGCCACACCATCAACAACCAATGGAGCGGGGCCATGTCTTTCACCGGAGTCATAACAGAAAATTTGTTCAACTTCGATTTTGGTGGGGGAGCAGCCGACTCGCATGAAGAGGCAGTGGCGGCGGCCTTGGCAGCAGGGGTGACGCTCCCTCCCTCCCTCCCTCCTTCCTACTCGACAAGGTTGACGAACATCAACGGTCGTCGCACCCTCAAAGCCTTATTGGAGGAGGTACTGGACCAGGTCCTTCCCCCAGACGCCCACGAGCGTTTGAACGCGCGGCCGGGGAAGGTAGGACGGGAGGGAGTCCAAGGGCCTTCTCCTCCTTCACATCCTTCTTCCCTAACCACACCTGCGGCGATCCTTCACATCTTTCTTCCCTAACCATCGCCCGCAATGATCCTCCTCTTTTTATCTTTCCCCCGCTCCCCGCCAGGTGACGGTCGGTGTCACGAACTTGGGCTGGTCAGGTTTTCGCGCCAATTTTTTCCTTCGGCCCCGGGCAATTTCCTCCTTTGCCTCCCGCGCCGACCTGATCGAAGTCCTCCTTGCCTCCTGCAACGTCCCCGTCCTCTTTGCCGGGTATCCTTCGCTGCCCTGCCGGGGCCTCCCGTCCATCGACGGCTACTTTAGCGTGCCTGCCCACCGGTTCGGCTGCCCTTACCTTGCGGGCGCTGCCCGTACCATTTTGGTCTCACCCTTCCCGGCGACAGCTGTCATGCGGGGCCCGGGGCCCACGGCGGAGGAGGAGGGTGGAAGGGAGTGGTTGAGTCCGGAGGTGGAGGAGGGATGGGGGGGAGGGAGGGAGGAAGGGGATGCGGGAGCTGTTGCGCGACGCGTGGTCGGTGAATGGGAGGGAGGTGGTGGAGCGGTATTACGAGTTAGGAAGGAGGGATGCACAGGCATGGGTGGATAAGAGCGAGTACATGAGGCGGAAGCTTAAAGGAGGGGGGGGCTTGATGATCCCTTTCTTGTGATGAGAGGGGGAAGGAAGGAGAGAGGGAGGGAGAGAGGGGAGGAATGGCAGCGATGGTGCGATGGCCAAAACTGTGACAACTGCGGTAAATCATTGTAACATCATCGAAGGCTCGACTGTATCCAATCAATACTGTACGCGTGGTAAAATCAAAACGCAAAGACCAACAATTAAAGGAGGCCTCGTGGGAAGGACTGGCTCCTGAGGAAGTGGCTCTCCGTTTCTTGCCCGTACCTCCTGCCTGCCATCCGTCCGGAATCTCGTTCGGGGGGGGGCCGGGCGGGTCCTGTGGACTTCATGGAATGTCCGCCACCGCAACACGTTTTCTTCCCGGGCATTTGCCATCGCAAAACCTTCCATTTCTAGAAGGTTTTCCCCACGGATCCCCCCCGGTGACAGCCGGGGCCCCGACGTTGTTCCTTTCCTTGCCCTTGTCCCTTCGATGTTCTCACCCGTCCATCCCAATGCCGCGACAATATCCCCTTCCACCCGCTACTTGAACCGCGTATCGTGGCCTCGCGAACCAGGGGAGGGCGTATTCCCCCCTCCGCCAGCTCGCGGACCGCCATACCCTCGATCTCCTCCCCCCCTCCCTCCCCCTCTTCCTCCCCCCCTTCCTGCCCCCCTTCCTCCCCCTCGACCTCCCTCACCTTTCCACCATTGACCCTCACCACCACCTTCCCTGCCACCCCCCACGCTTCCTCCCTTCCCTCCCCGCCCTCCTTCCCTTCCTCCTCCACCGCGCGGACCTCCCCCCTCCTCTCCTTCCTCCCTCCCTCCCTCCCTCTCCCCCTCCAGCTCGCGCAAGGCCCGCCTAAACTCCCTCTCTCGCTCCGGTCTGAACACGCCCTTCTCATCATACATCCTCTTTGCCCGCACCCCGTTCCCCTCCCGCCTTCCCCCCCGCCCTCCCTCCCACTCGGGGACGAAAACCCGGCCCTTGACCAAGGCTGCCGCGGAGAAATGGAAGACGTGCTTGTCCCCTTCGTACACAGGCCCCAGCAATGCTTGCACCGGATACACGTGGTCGGGCACACATTCTGCCAGTTCCTCCTCCTCCTCCTCCTCCCCCGTCTTCCTCCCCCCCTCCCCCCCTTCCCTTCCTCCCTCCCCTCCCTCCCCTCCGCCACTTTC